ATGCTTTCACACTTCTTTGCTCATTTCTTTGTCCCATTCATTTTCATTTATGTTTACTGGCTTTTTATTGACTTGTTTCACCTAAATATTGGGATGTTCTCTGGTTCAAATCCTATTTGTTGGGACTTTTTTGTGATGTGTAGGATATTTGGGATATAGCTTATTATTATTTTTATTATTATTATTATTATTGAAGTTGTTGTTGTTGTTGTTGTTTTAATTGCAGGCAAACCTTAATAGATTCAGCAAACTAAAACTCACATCCTCAAATGACAATGTCCTGAAAAAGATGGAAACTGTTGGAGCTGCTTATGATCATCCTCTGAAAAATGCCATGCCAAGGATCATAAAGGAACACAAGGAAGCCAAAGAAGCTATCTAAGAGATTGAAAAAATGAGAGAACAGCTGAATGAAAGCCCTCACCAGAATCCACAATTGAAAAGTCGCTGTAGTGATGCCACCAATACCCTGCGAAAGAAAAAACTTCAGAACCACCCAGTATTTATTGTTGCATTTGACAACATTGACATGCATTTGAATCGCCGAAATATGACAATGACTGAACAAAATAAAGATGTACATTGGGTCAATCATGAAATGATTGAGAACAGAGCAACAGGGAATCATCTACGCAGTGAAGGGCAGTCTTGTGAAATACTAAATGTGCCAAATGCTAATTTTTTTCCAAGTGTAGATGACCAAAGGAAACAAGGGAAAAAACTATTCAGTCCTGGTGTCTCGCATTCTAGTGGGCTGTTTTGATGCTTCCGCATCTTCAAAGGCGTGTGCATAAGACACATGCCACATAAATACGCTAAAGAGAAGTCAACGCGTTCTACAAAGGTAATATTTCAATCAAACATTTTTGTGATGTTTAAAGTAAATTCAGTGCGCTTTCATCCATTATTATATATTCCTTTTTGTTATGCTTTCATTCATTCATCTCCATATTTGTCTTTGTAGACCCCACTTGGAATTATATCCAAGAGTGAAAATGTCATTGAAGAAATGATCTCAATTCTGCACCAATTCCACACCTATCTCCCCAAAACTGATGAGATGGAGTTTGACAGCCAAATTTTTACTGGAGATCAGCTAACCGTTGAGAGAGCAGTAAACATGATAACATCAGTGTCCAATGGTTTCACTCCTGAAGACACATTGGAGGGAATTACCATACAAATAGCTGATTGGCATGCTGGTGTCAAAATACTTGAGGTGAGTTGCTATAAATGGATAACAACCACTTGTCTTATGCTAATCGATTTTGTATACAACTGTTCCAAAAAGAGGGAGAAAATCAACTAGTACATTCCAAGACTGAAATGCATTATAGTTCCTCATAAATTGAGATAGCCAGTAAAAATTTTTTATATTTTTTGCACATCAGGACAATGCAGGAACACGGTTTGAATTCAATACAAAATATGAAATTCTTTTGCTGTGCTGTAATTTAAATGATATTATAAATCATCAATTGATTTCAGGCTTGGAGTGAATTAGTTGTAATCCAATGTTTGGTATTCAACATTTTGAAAGTTGATTATGTGTAAAAAAAATAATGACAATGCATAACATCT